CCGGCCCAGGCCCCCCAGTGATGCGAGGGAGCTCTTCTTCACGCCCGACCCCCCCAGCTTGGCGGTGATGGGGCCGCCAACCAGCGGGGTCAGCTGCTCGGGGGGACAGCCCGCAGTGCGGCTGCTGGCGGGGGAGCTGAAGCGGCCGACACGGGAGAGCGCCTCCTCCACCTCAACTGGGGGCAGCCGTACATACACACACACGATGTGTGTGTGGTGGGGGGGGGGGGAGAAGAGGGAAGGCGAAATAGTGGGACATGCGGTTCAGCTGTAAGATCAGGAGCAGCAGCAGCAGCAGCAGCAGCAGCAGTAGCAGGCGCAGCAGCGGCCGCAGCGGCGGTGTACAAGACTGCGACCGGTAAGGGTGCTGTTGCGGGGTAAGGGTGTTGTTGAGGGGGTGCGCGCGAGGGGTAGCTGCGGGCTGTGGGCTGATGTTGTACAGGGCCCCAAAGGCCCCTTGCTGTGCAACCCCACGTTACGCACACACACCAACACATCAACACAAGGCGTATTTCGGATCAGATTATTAACACACACATATATGTGTACACATGTGTACATGTACAACCCACTCACAGGCAAAGCCGCTCCCTCCGCTTGCTCCCGCCATCACCGACGTGAAAGAGCTGTTCGTACTGCCAACCCCTCCCTGCGCCGGAATAACCCCCCCTCCCCCTCCGCCTCCGCCTCCTCCCCCGGCCGCCTTCATAAACGCATTGGCCGCCGAAATGACGTGTGTCGCCGCCGCCCAGTTGCTCTGTGCGGTGGTGGCCTTCAAATCCAGGTTTCGGAGCGGAAACGTGGCTGGCTGCGGCGCGTCTGCGCCCGCCCTAGGCTTCATTTGGGGCCCCAGCTGCGCGACCATATGATTGCACAAGGTCGTCAGGTCAGGTGATAGCATGGCTAGGGCGGTGAGGAACTGCCTGAGGCTGAGGCCGCTCGTGCGCTGAGAGGCAGTGGAGAAGATGCTGGCCAGATCGGTAGGGGAGACGGGGCCTGAAGGTGGCGGGGGTGGGGGGAGAGGAAAGGGGGAGCGGAGGTAAACCCCTATTCCAATGACCAACACCCTCATCAACATCACAATCGCATTGGCAACCATCATTAATATAACCACCATTATATCCTCCTCTTCTTCATCATCATCATCATCATCATCATCATCCTCTTCTTCATCATCATCTCATCATCATCATCATCATCATCATCATCATCATCATCATCATCATCATCCCCCTCATCCTCATCACCACCACCACTACTCACCCACTGGCTGCGCCAGCCCCACATCCGCGCACAGCTGGTGCCACTGCGCGGAGGACAGCTTCAAGTCGCCGTCCATCATCATCTTGGCGGCGGCCCCGGTCGTCAGCCGGCAGTAGTTGTTGTAGCACTGCTTCAGGGAGGCCTCGGACTTGGCGTCCACTGGGCCCGGGGGCCGGAGGGGGAAGAGGGGTTAATGTGGGAGAGGGAGGAGAGGGAGGGGTAATCAACATACATACATACATACATACATACATACATACATACATACATACATACATACATACATACATACATACATACATACATACATACATACATACATACATACATACATACATACATACATACATACATACATACATACATACATACACACGTGGTTCCGGTGCGGAGGGTCGTAGAGCAAGGGTGGGGAGGAGAGGCGTCAGGCGTCAGGCGACAGGCGAGAGGGGCCACATGAAAATGGCTGCACGGAGGTGGGGGGTTGAGGGGTTGAGGGAGGCGGCACAGCCCGGATGCATGGGGGCGGGGGCGGGGGGAGGTGTGGGCTGCTGGACGCCCCCCCCTCTCAACATGTCCCTCCCCTCCCCTCCCCTCCCCTGCACATGATGACGCCCCACATCGGGAGCCCCTCTGCTGGCCCCCGCCACACCACCACCACCATTAAGCTCAGCGCTGCAAACCCCACACAGGCCACACGGTCACCACCAGCACCAGCGGAATTTACCCCCCGCCTCCATACACACACACACGCACAGTCTCGTCTCCCGGACTACCGCTGCACTCACAGTCTCTCAACGCGTCCACCGCCTGGCCCAGGAGGCGGTCCGCTCCGCGGCCTCCCCCACCGCCGCCGCCGGCCCCACCGCCGCCGCCGCCCGCCGCCTCCCCGCCATCCGCCATCAACATCGCCCTCCGGTACATGTCACAGAATTCGACAGGGGACCAGCGGTACGAGCTGTTGTCCAGTTTGGAGTCCAGACCCAGAGCGGCGGCTGGGAGTGGGGGGAGGAGGGGGTATTAGTGGGGAGGGGAGGAGATGGAAAGGGGGAAGGCAGTGTGCGTGCGTGTCTGTGTGTGTGTGTTGTGGTGGGGGAAGTCTGGATGGGGGGTTGGCTTTGTGGGTGGTGGCACGTCAGTAAACTGTGAGCCAGGTAAGGTGTAGCCGGCATATGTTGTCTAGATAGGTTGGCTGTGGGTGGGGCAAGGATGGGTCTGGTCAAGGAGTCCGAGGATAGAGGCGAGGGCGGGATGGACTGACGGTGTGGTGAGGGGGGCCAGGTCCCGCATTATCGATCTGAAGGATCGGGGGGACTGGGGTTCCGGGACGGATCTTGCTGCTGTAGTGCTTGGATAATATGGCGGCATGGAGAGCGCTACTGTCGTGATGCGTGAGATCCCAGTCGAAATAATTTACGTAAGCTTACTTAAGCTCCTTGCGCTGAAGCCGTGGGTCCCGCATAGCTCGTTGATTGCGGACGCCATTTCACGGGGATCGAGCAAGCCGTCGCCATTTTGGTCGTGCCGCTTCATCAATTGCATTGCTTTTTCGTTCCATTGATCCTGTTGTGCCTGCAGTGTTTACACGGGTATGAAGTCTTGCTTGGCAAGGAAGATCGGGAAAGACTAGAGCGCCGTGCTGCGTGGAAGGACATGCGGCAAGCAAAACGTTCGCCCTCGCTCTGAGCCATTGCAGGGTTATATAAATTAGACAGTTACCTGTAAGATTAGTCAGGTATAAAACATCAACGCAAACCTTGCACGCCAGCCAGTTCACATGACCTTCAGCGCCACGCACCTTCGAAGGCCCACCCACTGCAGGGCCTCGCCCTGCCATATCTAAGCTCAATCAGCAGGGGAAGCAAATCGACGTGCGCCTCTTCACACCTTCGAGTGCATTGCCACTGAAAGAGCTGAAACCTTGTGGCGCAGTGCAAAGTGCTAAGATATCCCTAACGAGACAAATGCCTGTATCTATAAGAATGACACGTATGGTGCTGCATAAAACTCAGGCTAAGTGGATAGCTTGATGGTCGAAACAGGTAACCAAGCCGGGAGCCAACGATGCTGGTCCAAAAGGTTTCTATAATGTCAGCATAAACATACATAATCTCGCAACACATAACTCTACCTCGGCGATAACCCATTGAACACCGAGCTGTACGACAGCCCACCGGATATCCCGGCTCCTGGGGCAATGCAGCTGAAGGAGCCTTCGAGTCCATGCTTGCTTTAGCGGTAATAGCTGAAATTGAGACACCTGACTGCTAGCACGGACGTGACCCGAACGGCCCATGATTACAGACAGCACCAGCGACTTGCTTGCTGCTTGCGACTTGTGGGTGACTTTGCAAGCCTCACAGAAAGCGACGCAAAGCACTTATACCGCGTGCTTTTGATGCGTGTAATCCAACTACTTTGACTGGACGCACATTCCTTTCAACCGTCGCGACCTTCCTGTAAGCTGCTGTGACAAAGCCTTATCGGCGCACTTTAACGGAGCAAATAGACGCCTCCATGCTGTCCTTTCAGGTCGCTTGATTTGATTGACGTGACAGGTTTCCATAATCGAGGGATCGACTGTAACGGACGTTGCCGCTAAGTGGATAGATATATAATGAAATCCGGCCTCCAAACAAGCACAAGAGGCAGCAGAGCCATACAATTCTACATCGCCAAGCAGTTTGTGTCGGTCCTCTTACAGCCGACCAATTCGGTTTATAGTTCTCCAGGCCCGTCTGCAAACCGCATTGCTGCACCTTAGCCCTTGCACAACACCACTCCGAAAACTCAATCCCAACAGCTGGACCCTTTTAAGGACTATCAGACAGACAGTAATTAAAAAAACAACCTAAACATGAACAAGGGCGGTGCGAGGCAAACAGCACTCCCTTGCATCGCATCAACAGACGAAACCGGCTCTTGAAGCCTTGACGTGCGCGTCTTCGACATACCTTCGGAGAGTATGCGCACAGCACCCAGCGCAACAATCACCATGTGCACGCCAGACGTTGGCCGCAACAGCATTCTGCAATCTTGTGGCTTGCAACAGGACCCTTGCCAGCTTGCAGCACCCTCCCCACTCAACCCTGTGGTGTCCAACCCTGCTTCCCTGTACGGCCTGGTGGGATGCCATGACGCACCTGCTGCGCCGTTGGCCGCATATCCCCCCCCTTACCAAAACGCGTTGGGCGGCACCTGGTAACTGTTGTTGGTATTGTTCTGTTGTTGAGCCGGCGGCGGTCCGCCATACATACCGCCGCCGGCACTGCCTTGCTGCTGACGCGGCGGGCCACCTCCATTCCAGCCCCCCCCGCCGCCCCCACCATAGCCACCCCCTCCCACAGGTCCCCCATAGCCGGCCCCGCTGCCACTGCCACTGTAGCCACCACCCCCGCCCTGTTGCTGCTGCGGACCGCCGTACATGCCACCGCCGCTGCTCTGTTGTGGCCTGCCAGCCGCCGTCGGTGGCCCACCGTACATCCCGCCGCCCCCACCTGCAGGAGGTGGTGTTCGAGGCGGACCGCCTCCTGCGTGGCCGGTCGCCGGTGCAACGTAGGGATTGGTCGCCGGCGCGCTTGTATACGGGTTCGTTGCCTGCGGGGCTGTGCCGTACATGCTGCTTGACGGCCCGCCATACTGGCCCCCTCCCAGGCCACCGCCTTGCGGGTTGTAACCACCGCCGCCACCGCTACCACCAGCCCCTACACCAGCCGCGGTTGCGGCCGCGGCAACTGACCCACTGGGTCCCCCCGTGCAAAGGACGGGTTGCCCGTTCTCCAGGGCCTTGATGTACTGCAACATGAGATTTCCTTCCTTGACGAAGTCCGTGAGACGCTCCAGGCGGTAAATGGACACCTTGATCCGCGCTTCGTCGTTATAGTGGTCCTCCGCAACCTGCGCACACACGGAGATGGACAGGAGCGTGTGGGTGTGCGAGAGCGGCTCACGACTGGGTGTGCCAGCGGGACGCGATGTTGGGGACGGGGGATGAACGACAATGGCGGCAAAAGCAGATACAAGCAGGCCGTTGAAATTCGCATGTTTGGCAGGAGGAGTGAGAAAAGAGTGCGCAAGGCCTGGATACACATCCTCTGAGCCACAGCGGTTGGTTTCTTCCTTGTAAAAGTTGCACGATGGCTGGTTGTCGTAGAAACGGTGCAGTAATAATTATGCTGTTCTTCTCAGCTTCGCGTTTCGTCGCGAAGCTGAGAATCCAATCGCCTCAATTGAACCCAACCTCTCCCGCTGCCCCTTTTGCAAAGCCCTGGCGCGCTTTGCCACACCTTAAGCCGGAAAATGAAGGACGTGAAACGAATGGATTCTGTGAGCCTGTCGAATTCCTGAAAGGGGGGGCAGTCAGGGAGCAGTATGGCAAAGTAAATCGAAAGGTTATTGGCAGGTATTCGTCGGCCACCTCAGTGCGCAGCCCTGGCTCACAAAAACACGTGCAGCCACCGCTTCGACCCGCAGCCTTCCGAAACGCCTACCTACTTTTACTCCTAGTCCTATTTATAAGCAAGGAAACAAACCACAGAAAGAAGCACAATCCAAACGTTAGTACTTTGGCACCCTACGGTACACAGAAGGCACGGTGGTGGATGCATTTTAATCGCTTGGACTCTCTCAGTTCGTCAGTCCTAGCGCGCTGCCACGAGGCGGCGCCGGCCATAACCTACTTGGGTGTTCTCCGCCTCCAGCTGCCGCACCTCAGCCGCCGTGCGGCCAAAGATTGCGTCACCCGCATCTCCGAACGCAGTCAGGTATTGCTTGGACGTGTGGTCGCAAGCGCTCATGGACACCTGGCGATAGGCCAAGAAACGGTTGGGAAATGCAGGTGAGCAGCACACCCTACTCGCATACGCAAAAGCGGTACTCCTATGGAACGCCAAAGGCCGGCACTGAAGGGGGCCAGCACTTTGCTTCCACCGGTGCAGGTGGATATGCAGGTAGAGGTCGAGAGAGGTAAATAACGTGCAACGCGAACGTCCCGACATGCACGTTAGCGGGAATTTCACGCAGATGAAGTGAAAATGTCTTGCAGAGAGAAGCGAAACTCGGAAAGCGGCTGATGGCACGGTACAAACGAAGTAAATAGCTGCGGCATGGCCTGGAGCGCAAATAGCTGCACATCAAGATACGTATGTGCATTCGGGGTATGCCCACCATGACGGGCCCCGTACGTACGTACATACATACGTACCAGGTACCGCCAGGCGGGATTCTCCGTGGAGTAGTTACATCTCTCACAATTCCAGTTGCCACCGCCAATGTCCATCATCTTCTTCTGGCATGGCCTGCGCGAGGTCGTCGAGGCCGTTGCCAGGGAGCGGTACACGGGAGCCTTACAGCCACACAGAGAGAGAGAAAGAGAGGGCTCTCGTGGCATCGGTGCGATACAACAGATTTCACATCACCAACAGCATCGGCGACACATTTGTCGCAGACGTGGGACCTGCTCCGTCCTCGTTTTGGTAAAGGGGGGATATGCGGCCAACGGTGCAGCAGGTGCGTCATGACGTCCCACAGAGCACACACGCGCCCATGCCCCCATGGCTGTGAACAAAGCTGTCTTGCACTTCTCCTCCAGCGCACATACCAAAACCACCTCGTCAACCCCGGCCGCCATCCCTCGCCAAGCCCTAGCTGCACCCGCCACCACGGCGTATGGGACCGCTTGCCACACCAGCCTTTAGACACAAGCGACTAAGCCAGCTGCCCAGCGCGAACACACCTTCCGTTGAAGTCGTGGGGGCAGGAGGGATACACAACCGCGGACGGACCACCGCCCTGGCTGTCCGTCTTGACCATGTCCACCACTGCCGACACCGTAATCCAGTCGGGCTTGCCCGAAGTGCCCAGGTGCTCACCCTGGCCGGGGATTGCGGAAATTCCGTGTAGTGGGTTGCGGAAGGGAGGCTATGGCTGAGGCGGCCAGTGAAAACGCAAGTAGCATCTTACGACTCCGTCCGCCCGCCCGCTGTTCCACTTCAAGGGCAAATGAATGTTAGTACCATGTTGTCAAGAGTGAGAGCGCGTTCTCCTATTTCGCAGCCCCCAGATTGCGAAACGGCTCAGGCGGCTTAACCGGGGAACCCTGGGGGACAGGGGGCCCCCTGGCGATGATCCCCATGCATCCTAGAGCGTCCCATGTACCTTGATCGCGGAGAAAGTTGTCCGCCGGTCAGCCTTTCCGCCAGCGCCCCCGCCCATGCCTGCGCTGCTGAGCGAGTTGACCGCTTGCGAACGCCCGCCGCCGTCATACCTGGTGTAACACGGAAGGTGCATGGAAGGGCAGCCGAACGCACACGGTCAGACAACTCATCCGCCTTCACGCTCTCTGCAATAACGCAACAGCACCACCACCACCACCACAATTCGCTACAGGTATCCGCGACAGGGAATGCAAGGGAGGCGCGGCTGTCTCGCATGGTGCCGGTAGCCGGGGATCCGCATCTGTCAGGTACTCCAGCGCCATGCTGGCGAACACACCTCCATGCTAACCAGCTGACCAGAATCTTGGATGCCATCCCCTTCCTCTTCCGAGGGCCGGCCACCTAGGAACGCCTTAGAAAAGGCCTTCCATCGCCTCTCACGCTCTCCAGACCTCTCTATTTTCTTCGCCCCCCTCCCAAAGCTTCTTTCCTCTTGCAAAGCGCGCCTCGAGACCAACCCAACCCCTCTGTCACCCCCGTGCCAATCCTCTCCCAACACACCAGCTACGTAGCCGCTGTGCGGCTGGTAGGTCCATCGGGTCGATCCGCAGCACGGATGACCCAATCGTCGACAACGTCTTCCCATTAAAGTCGCCAACTCGCAGCGCCTTGGCGGCAAACACGGGCCGCGCACCCGACCGTACCATCTGCGTAATCCAACGTATAATACGGGGTGAAAAGCGCAGCATCGACATGGCGAATTAAATTCATCCATCAGTGCCAATACCGGGTCGGTCTGTGACACACACCGGTGCCAAAACGGGTACCGTGGCAAGCATTACGCGAGTAGGTACATCGAGTAGTCGCCTGACGGGAAGACATACGCGCTACCGCTCAAGGCGCTTACTGGGAAACATCAATCGGCGAGTTCAGCAGCTTTATGCCACTGTCGGAGTGTCTACAGAACCCTACGTTGTGCTGTTAATCCCCATTCCACGCACTTGGCGCACGCTTTTCAAGAGGAGAAAAGTTTGACCTGTAATCACAAGTCCCTGCTTTCGAGCTACTGTACATATTCCCTGTTCTTAAATAACTGTATGATTGTGTGTGAAGTAGGGGGGTTACGTATTTCCACACATTTGAAAAACCACGGGTTTGATAAACATACTTTATCCATGCGACCTCCAATACTGCCCTCAAACAAACCCCTCCTCTCCTCTGCCACTTCCCTCCTGGTACGGTCCAAAAGGTGCCGCCACTCAACCTCCAATCGGTCTGTCGCCCCCGGTCTGACTCCAACCCGGCGCCGCTGCTCCACGGCACGGTGAGGCGACGCATGCCCTCGCGTTCCTGCCCCGCACCGTACCCAACCCCCACCTGCTCGATCTGGTCTCCAGGATTGTTGACCAGCGGGCCCCACAGTGTCACCTCGATGGACCGGCCGCTCTCGTCCCGGACCACCATACTGCGCTTCTGAGTCTCCTCGCCCGTGCGCCGGGTGATGGACTGGCGGGTGGCATGTATGGTGATTAAGAAGGTCGAGGAAAAAGTGGGGGGCAAAGGTCCCAAGACGGGTCATATCGTAGGCATCTGAGGCAGCTACAGCAGCAGGTCGTTATTATGAGCCCTAGATTAACAGTACCCTGCGAGCAACGACGCCTTCAGCAACAAATCAAACCCAGCCACGCTGCACCACGGGCCCAGCTGCCGCTTGCGCGTAGCGCACCCACCCCCCGTCGTCCAGCCGAACTCTCCTTACCCACAAAGCCGCGCTTCCCTAGCAGAACGCTCTCTTCCCAGCAATCCCCGCACCTACCTGCCAGGCGTCGCACGTCTCCACCAACCCGATGATGTCCACCATACTGCCCGCTTCAGCCGTCTCAAGGTCGGCAATCCGCCGGAACTGCAGACCGGCGGAGGGCGGAGATATGGAACCGCAGAGATAGCTACTTCACAAGTACGCAACCTAGGAGCCCAAGACTATGCCCAAATCAGCAATCCGAAAGGCCCAAAATTTGCCCCTGAGCCGGTGCTTCCTGGGAAACCAATTGCCAGTATGCTCAATAAACCCGCCTAACACCATTGCAACCTAACAATCCCGCAAGCACTTCCTCCCCCCGCCTTGTCCCATGTACCTACGCCAAGGCCCAGATTACAGTGCGGCGTAGCTCACATTAAAGCTGATGGAAGGGATTTGCGAAGTCTCCTTATCCTCAGGCACACGCTCCACAAGTGAGTTGCGGTCGAGGCGAATCTCATAATCATGGCTGGTGGGGTTGAATTGCTGCAGGCGAGAAAGGGCAAGCGGAGGGGAGGTAGCTACATAGGTGGGGACCTAGCGATATGACCATCCAGGGCCTGTGCAATCCGCGTCGCTTAAGACGCCAATCGGCTTAAAACGCCTACGCCTTGCAGTTGCACAAGTTCCTCTTGCAAGTCATAACCTCATCTCCCTCCCATGCCGTCAGCCCAGGTACTGTCTGGCGCCTGCTCTGGCGCCTTTGTTTCCCTACCGACCAAAGTCGGCAGTAACCCTCCCTTCGAGAACCTCCACGTATAACCTCCCTTTGCTTTAAGCGCACCCAGTCTATTACTTACCGGTTTTTTTTGGGTCAGACTGGCCTTGCTAATCTGATAGATGGCCCCCACCTGCAGGGATGAAACACGAGGTGCTTAGGGGTCACACATGTTGCAAATACCTGCGCTGCGGAACCGGGCCATGGCGCATTCCGCCGAAATCCCCGAAACCCCAAAAGATCTAAAACACTACGTGTCATTGAGCGTGGTCGTTTTCCCCTCGCGGTCGCCACGCGACAAGGGCACCCCTGAGCACGCGCACCTCTGCCACGCGACACGGGGACCCCTGAGCACGCGCACCTCTATAGTCTCGAAGAATTTGTCCGCCTCTGCCCCGAACGCCGTTGCCCGGATGTCCCCGCCCGCCAGGTCCAACAGGTCGAACGAAAACACCTTGCCCTCGCCCTTCACGTTGGTCCACCTGAGCTCGGGAGCCCACCAGTATTTGGCCGCCAGTTCACAGCCATTGCGAACATAGAATACAAAAGCTAGCAGGCAATGCAGAGGTTGTCTGAAGAGAATTGATACACGAGGCCGGTACGTAACCCTTTGCAGTTGCGTACGCTGTGTAGATGATGCAGGGGACACTGACAGACGACAGCACGCATCGCTGCTAGCTCCGGACGCATGAGCATATCCATCACCTTGAGTATCCCCGGCAAGAAAGGTTCTAAGATATCAATGACCAGGCTCTCAGTACCGCCCGTGCAGTACCTCCCGTGTTGCATTTGCCCGACCCCACCTCAAGCCCATCTCACCTGCGCAGTTCGCCTTTGCTGGTGACTCGCCCCCGAATGGCCCAGCGGGCAATGTATGGATTGAGGGCAGAGATGGGCATAATACGAGGCGGCGCCTCATCCCGCGCAATGGCGCCTTGAGCCTGATACTGTGGAGGTGGCCGTGACCCACCTCCGCCACCGGCACCGCCAGGGGCCACATATGGGTTGTAGCCGGCTTGCGGTGCAGCGCCGCCTCGGCCGCCGTACCCGTTGGCTCCACCATTCTGCTGTGGCAGCGGTCCCCCCCCATACATGCCCTGCTGTTGCTGCTGTTCACCTCCACCGCCGGGGTAGGAATTTCCGCCCGCGCCATAAGGACCGCTGCTAGAACCATAGCCGCCGCCGGGCTGTCCCCCATTTGCCGGAGGCGGCGGCCCGCCATACATGCTTCCAGGCGGGGCCCCTTGCTGCTGGTATTGATTAGCATTGTAATTTTGATTGACGGGCGGCGGGGGACCACCATACATACCGCCGCCGTTCACAGGCGGTGGCGCAGAGCCGTATCCCCCGGTATTTCCCCCGTACCCGTGCTGCTGCTGTTGACCAGTAGCCGGCAGCTGGCCATTTTGTTGCTCCTCGGCAGATTTCTGAGCGTCGAGGAGCTCCGTAAAGGGCGGGATGACGATGGCAGGTCCGTAAGTGCCGTATTGTTCCAGGACCTGGCAGTTGAGCGCGATAAATATCCTGCAAGCAAATACCGAAATAGTCATGTGATTGTCCGACTGCGCGGGTGCCTAGGCGGGTGGAACAGCGTTATGAAAGCATGCACGCATTGATGGTATCGCGCAGATAACAGGTCTCCGTGACCTGGCAGCGGAGCAGATGCCAGCCGCTTCCAGTCGAATCCCGACTCCTATCTTGTCCAGGCTTGCCCTCACATGTCCTCCTAATCCCCGAATTCCCCACACGTCAAGCACAGCGTTTCCCATACAAGAGAGATGGACGCACACGCACACACACACCTCTTTGCAGCAACCTGATTTATGATGAAATCCGATATCTGGACGATGGCACCAGAGGTGAGAGCACCCGACACAATTAATTCAGTGACCTGAGCGCTCAGCATGCACATTAGTGCATAGTTCCCATCGCCGAGCCGTAGTCGGAACCGCGGCTTGTTATTTGGCTGCGGCTGTCCTTCCTTGAATGCGACAGGACGGATTTCTACGGACTCCACCGGCAACCGTGTCAATTTAAAAATTGCGCGCGCGGGCAAGATTTCGCTTCTTAAACTTACCGAGCACTTGGAACACTCCACTTATGGGAGCTTTGGCATCAGGTCCGCATGGGGTGGTTGCAACGCGAAACAAAGCCCCCGTAGACAAAGGTGGCTGCTGCATCTTAAACATAGCCTTTTTACGGCCTTGACATAGTTTATGTGGACTCAAGAAAAAGTAAGCTTGTTAAGGTTATCGGTTATGACGCAGACTTGTGTAAAGCACGGTAATACCATTTGCTGCTGCGCATGCTGTGTGAAATCGTCGTACGATAGTTGCAATTAGACAGCTGCCACAAGGCTAAATCCTGCTGCCAGGCTGACAGCATAATAGTTCCAGAGGTTAAAATAATGACCATTTAATGCTGAAGCTCATGGCGCGGTTGCTTTATGGTGTCTGCTCGTAGACATCAGCGTTGACCTTCATCCCCGTAATGACTGCTCTGTATTGTAGGTTACGCTACCATGCAGGAATGGTCGGACATCGGATTTCCGGTACTGTCTCGGGTGTGAAGACATCCTAAGGAGGTCAGGAAAGCAGCAAGCTGCTTAGAGGCTCGGGGCCGGTACTTCCTCTTTCATGGCTCAGGTCAAGCTCTAAGCTGGCTCAGGGTTTCTCGCCCATACACTGCGATGATTTGGAGGCATGCACATTTACCCTTAAGCGCGGCGCCGCGGGGCGCACGCTTACCGTGCACAGCGGTAACTATTTCCCTTGCTCTTTCTCACCAACAGGTGCAACAAAGGCAGGTCTTCACCTAAGGTCTTTTCACCTCTGCTCCCTCCCCCCCTTCTCCTTTCCCCCTCACCCTCCCTCCTCTTGCGGTTCATTTTCCGGTCCGGCCATCAGAAGCAGGAGTCAGGTGCTCTCTCTCTCCCTCGACCGGGCCCTCTCAGAACGTCATCCAGTCATGTACCACCTTTGTGCCGTTTGTAGGGGAATTTCCAGGTCCTTTCGACCCCTTTCCCCCACGAACGCCTCAGGTTCACCAGATCTTAAATCAGCCTGCACTTTAGCTCGCACCTCTCCGTCCCTTCTCGCCTTCCTCCTTTCCCTCCTGCCTGCCTTCCTATCTACCTGCCATCTAAGCAACTGCGCAGCTGCAGTTGCTGTCTTCAGCAGCGCCCAACATGACGTCCCTCCCCATCCCATAAAGCTACCTGCCATTCCAGCTGTCCTCATCCCTCCGTAGCATACTCAGTACTTTCCGCCCACTTTCATTCTGCCCTCCTCTGCATAAGCATGCAGCGGCGCGCTTTCACTCATTTCCAGAGGATCCCTCCACCCGTATCACGACCTTGCCCCGCGTCCTGCCTCGCTCCACGTGCTCGTGTGCCTCAACCACCTGCTCCAGGGTTACCTGCCGCTCCACATGCACCCGCACGCGGCCCTCAGCAAGCAGCTCCAAAAGCTTGTGACATTTTACCAGTCCAAGGGGGAAAGACAAGCCACACACCAAGGGGGACAGGTTGGGTAGGTGAAGGGCAGGCTGGGAATTACACGATGCAAAATGCAAACAATTACTGCCAGCTGTAGGGGGAGCGGAGAAGGGCAGCAAATGAGCTGTTTGTTTTGCGGGGCTGTAGAAGTGCCCGTGGTGAATGGGGGCCAGGGGGAGCGGGAGCAAGGCGGCACGAGCCCCTGCCTGACACACTTCCAAAGGAGCGGTTTGGGGGGGGAGAAAAGACGAACCACGAACGAGTGAAGGTGCTGCCAGGGCAAGAGTGTACCAGACGTAGAACTGACCAAAAGGCGTTCTTGAAGTGCGGCGACCTCGGGATGACTTAGTGAAGAAGATGTCGGAAAAACTACCTACCTAGCCGCCAAGACTAAGATAAACGCGAAAGAAAAGCAGCAAAGCAAAGCCGTAAGGAAGTTAAGGTAGATGTAGAGGCAGCGGTTTGGGGGGGGGGGGAGGAAAATGAAGAAGAAGGGTTAGGGTTTAGGTTGCCGTCAGAGGTGGATGAGAGCGGCGTTGGGGAGAGGGTGGTTGACCAGGGGTTGAAAAGCTGTTGTTGCCCGAAACCCATGTGCAGCCTCCTTTACCCGGCCGCAGTACCGCAACCGTACCTGCTTTCCCATGCTCCTATCCGCTTCTGGGTTTCCACATCATGCGTTTTGCTATCCGGCATGACATGTATGTACGCAACCGTGTCATCGACGCCGTATGTACGGCTCCTATTTTCCCGTCGCTCTGGTGCACGACCGACCCCCCCCACACACCTGATTTAGTCCTTTTTCCGGTGCCAGGTCCTGCATCACACTGTCATACTTGGGACAGAGACCCAGCGCCGACGCCAGCTTTAGCCGTATCACTCGCCCCATGATGAGCAGCACCAGCCATATGCCGTTCCGCCTGGGTTGGAACAAACAACAGCAGACACACATACATAACAAACCCGAATCCACGTATATATACACTATGGCGCTTCTCTCGTGGCAATGGCTTCGTTCCAACTTAACAATTGCACATACACAGACTGTTGCTTCTCCGTAAGGGTGGACGCAGGTCAGAGGCGTTACTGGAGCCGTGTTATGCTCCCCGCTTTCCCCGGGACCCCTCCCCTCCCCTCCCCTCCCCTCCCCAGCTGCAACCATTGGGCAATGATGCCTTTGATCGCCTGCGTGTCAAAGTCGCAACGCAAAGTCGCAACGAACGCCAAACACACTACCAGAATATCCATACACGCTGACTGTGGCTTGCTACTCGCAAACGTGGTTTCAGTACAGAAACATGTAGATTGCATGCTGGCCCGTGCGATGTGTGACTCGGTACTGTAATTACAAGGCCGCTTTGTGGCGGTGCTGCTCCCACTCACACTCGCAGGAGTCAAGCGCCCCCAAGCAGCCATCCCTGCCCCCGCACCCCTGCCCCCGTACCCCTGCATGATCTTGTCAAATGACACCACCGCCATGCGGCCGTCCCTCCGCAACAATCCCCAGCAGGAGGGCTCATCACCAACCAGATCAACCACCAAATCGTACGGATCACCCGCTGCTGTCGTGAGCGTTTCCTGCGTGGGGGCATGCACCGCAAGTCATGACGGCGCCAGCAATGGGCAGGAAGTTATGGTGGCACCCCTTCCAACACACCGCACCACCCAAATTTCAACTCTTAATAAGAGGGCCGCAGAACGCGTCCAGGGCGGCCTCTAGCAAGAGTGCTCCCATTTCAGTGGCCCCTCCCCATCGCCGCGTCTGAGAGAAGGGTCCCTCCCTCCTCCTCCTCCTCCTCTCCCCCCCGGCACACCCCGCATATCTCCTCGCCTGTGTGTAGTCTATGGCCTTGTCCGCCCCCAGCTGCTGGGTAATGAACTCCGAGTTTCTGCCGCTGCACGTGGCAGCCACGTAGGCACCCTGGGACTTGGCAATCTGATTCGGACATTGGGAACCCCGGCGGCCGGGTGGGTGGGTGAGGCGGGCGGGCGGGTGCGGGGGGTGAGGTGAGGCGGGCGGGTGAGGGGGGTGAGGTGAGGCGGGCGGGTGAGGGGGGTGAGGTGAGGCGGGCGGGTGAGGGGGGTGAGGTGCGAGGGTGAGGGTGGGCGGGTGAGGTGCGAGGGTGAGGGTGGGCGGGTTTCGAGGCAATGAGCGGGAATGGGACGAGGCAGGGGGTGTGGCGGTCACTGGTCCGGCCATTCTGAGAGCGGACGCGGCGGTGAAACCCACACGCCCTCTATCTGTCCGGGCCCCCCCATCATGTCATCGTGTCATTTGCCGAACATTTCCACACCCCGGGGGTGGGTTCGGGCAAATGCGCGTCCATGTAGATCAGAGAGGTGGTGGGGATGACGAAGGGGTTCAAGGTGCGGGGTGGCGGTGAAGCCCTCGAAGCCCTCATTACCCCCAACTTGACCTCTGCAGCACCTCTGATACCTGCTACCAGTAATTTCTCACATCTCCGGAACAGCATCTACACACACAAACCCAATCCCACCCTCCCCCCTTCCTTACCTGCACGGCGAAGTGCCCCACACCGCCGGCACCCCCCAGCACCAGCACTCGCTTGCCCGCTAGGGGCATGGAGGGCGCCAGTGCCTGCCAGGCAGTCATACCCGCCATGGGGAGTGCGGCCGCGTGTTCGAAGCTCACCCCCGGCGGTATGGCTGTCAGCAGGTTCTCTCGGCAGCACACGAACTCGGCATAGGTGCCTAAGGCTCCGAGTGTGGGGTAGGGCAAAGGGGGCCCGCCCGGGGCGAGGTCTTAAGGAAAGGAGAGCTGGATGTAATTGGGGCGGAGAGGTGATCTCGAGGGGTGGGAATCGTTAATATACATACACATATACATACATACATACATACATACATACATACATACATACATACATACATACATACATACATACATACATACATACATACATATATACACATGTATATGCAAGAAGCTGGACGGGGCTCAGCATACAGAGGCTGTTGGCCGATTCCCTGAACCCACCCTGCCCAGCGCCCACCCATCCCCGCCCCCACCACCACACACCTCCCCCAACAGCCCCAAACCTCACCCCAGCGATCCATAATTTGACCGGTGCATCCAACCACTCGGTCCCCGACCTTGAACTGGGGGGTGGGGTGGGTTGCAGCAAGGTGCCAGGTGCAGCATCATTATCAGCAGCAGCATGCGCAATGTGTACGGGCGAGCAAACACCACGACATGCTGCCGTCAGCAGGAGAGCAGTACGATGACCGCCGCACAAATATGCACTAATATGTGAATAGAGTGAACCACTTCCTTTCCACCAACCGCTTCCAAACCCCCACTTACGTGGAGTGGCCTCTTCCCGACTACCTCCCTCCCACCTTCCCGACCTTCCCCCACCTTGCTGGAGGGGTCGGCCTCCAAAACCAAACCCGCCACATCGCATCCAAGGATCTGTTTGGCGGACAGGGTGGGACAGGACAGGACAGGACAGAACAGCGGCGTGATGGTGAAGGCCGACGAGGGTGCGCGGCCCCGTATTTCCGTTTTCCACACCCTTCTCCATCTCTAGAGCATTAACGGCCATTCGATCCCGGAGGTCTGCTGCCTTGGTTGTATTTTTCGCACGAGAGACTGCAGTACAGCAGCACAAAACACGCAGGCTGCGACGGGGCTTCAGCTGGTTCCCCAAACAGCGCCTCAGTTGAGGCGCTGCCGCCGCTCCGGCACATTACTTATGTAAGCAACACCAGATGCACTCCGAGAACTGGCGCAGCCCGGAGGGCCCATTACACATTACCCTCAGGCTTTTACGGACACCCCCGCACGTATGTGTCTGTATGTGTGTGTATGTGTGCGCGCGAAACACGTATAATGACTTGTAGAACTATTAATTTGGCACGATGGTAGTGGCATAACCCCCCTGGACCCCTGACACTTGCTCCAGCTGCCGCACTAGCAGAACAGCTTCGTCATTACAGCGCCTACATGCATTTACGTACGGCATGCCACTGATGAGATCGCACCTGCGGGATGGTAATCATGGCCTTTGGCAACTTGGCCTGCACAAAAGCATGGGGCCCAAACCGGCGGAAGATAGAAGTGGCTTAGGAAGGGTGGAAATGGTGGCTGTGTTGGTCGCAGATTTGGCGAGCGGGCCATGCTGGCGCCGCCGCTGTGTGCTTCCATATGGATGGCCCCCCGTCGTCCATGGCCCCCCCGGCCCTTACGGACACAGCCGCACTTATGTGCGGAACTTGTAACTTGTATTGGATAGGTGGGACGATGCGAATGTGAGTTGAACAGCCAGGGTGGCTAACTACAAGGCAAGGCCAACCTGCCTTTCGCATGTGGCACTCGCCAGGGTTGACACCGGAGGCTTTCACGGCGATGAGGACCTCCCCCGGCTTTCGAACAGGTTTCGGGTGGTCGGTGCGGCACTCGAGCGTCTTCTTGGCCTCGCCGATTCCGGTAAGCACGACGGCTTTCATTTGGATTGGAGCTCGTGTCGGCGGCCGACGGACAACCGTCACGGAAGGTACCGATGCAGTCTCACGTGCTCAATTTAGGTTGCTCGGAACCTAGAACGCAGTTAACGTCTTAAACGAAGTTCAAATTAAATAGCTTTGGGATTACCTATACCTAAGCGCAACTTATGGTAAAAGTTGCCTACCGTGAGGGATGGTGATTTGTGCGCGCTGCAAAAGGTGAAGAGGTCAGGGTCGGAACGCGGGATGCAATGCCATTATCAGGAATGCTCACAACTGAATCGGGGAAGGCATTAAGACTTCAATGTGCTGATAGAAGGCGTGGGGAAGTTACAGAGACTTAAATGCTCGCAACAACGGTGGTACGACAGCAAGTGAACTCCAACATACCGAGCATCTGCGCAATTCAGTCCCTCTCTCTCAATATCATTTTAACGTCTCTTCGCTAAGGTAGCGAGTAGAGACAACCAAGAGCCAGCCAAACTACACCCCTCCCTTTCCCCCCCCTGGTGTAGTTTGGGGTGGGGCGAGCGACAAGACCACACAACCAACCCCCCTAGAGGTAACGCCCTGAGACCCCGGCATCTAAAGTAAATCGTCCTAGCAATCGCAAGACCCGCTAAGGCGAGAAGCAGGCACTCAGTTGCGGGGCCGCACATTGCGGTCGTGACGATGAGGATCAAGGTATCGCTCCAGCACCGCCGGAGTCCGAAGCTGACTGAACTCCATCAGGGCGGGAACTCCCGCACCGGCCGACGCAGCGGCCTGCAGGGCACCACGGCGGAAACTGTGCACAGTTTCCCCGTCGTACAACTGAGCAGCCCGCAGGTGTAGCCGTAACCGCGCGGCAAGAGTGGCGCTCTGCAGCGCTTCCGCCTTGAAAGCCCGCTGGTCCGCCGTCAGCGGGCGAAACAGCGTGTCTTGGACAGCGCTCCCAGGGGGGGCACCAGGCTGGGCACAAGACCACATGTAAAAAGCCAGAGTACGCGGAATGCAGAAAGGGGGGTCCTCACTGTTGGCCG